AAATGATTTTAAGAAATGGAAGTCACCAGAAGCTTTTTTGGAAATCACTTATGAAAGCAGTTTTCTGAAACTTGGGTATTGTTTCTGGAATGATTATTAAGAGCTAGGAACGATACGATGCCCAGTAAGGTGACCAAACAAAAAATCAGTGCTGGAAAAACTCTGGAGAAAAAAGTCTGGCCAGTTAAAAGACTCCAGGGTCACCTTAATCATGAAGGTGAAAACCATATGAGCTAAAATTTGAAGAGATATGCATATGGGATAGAAAAGTTACTACACTCGGAGGTTGCACCTCTTTCTCAATGATGCTTGATTCATAAAGAATGATTTTCCTCTAAATTAATATCTTCCTATTTTAACTTGTGTTGAGATTATGATATTTAAGATCTGAACCAAGGTTTTTCTTTCTCTATGCGAGAGGGATACACAGATACTTGATATGAGATACTATGTTTTTTCTTGTAAGTGTGATATTGTATAGAATATAGATCATGTATGTGTGTATTTAACTATAGCTGTGCGTGTAGCCGTCTCTTATTTTTGAGTGGGAAAAGATTTTGGCTTATGGAGTTCATGATATTTGTTGCATATATCATGAGTAATTTGAATTTTTGGCCTGTCATTCCTCTAAGTTGACTGAGTCGACCATATTTACGTACAGAAGATGGTATTTCATGGACGTTATTGTGGTAATGCATGTTCAATTAAATGTGTCCCTGACTAACTATGGTTTATGCCTTGCCTTTTACAGGGTCCAAATCCACTCTCGGTCAAGAAGAAAAAGAAATCTGTTGATACAAATGTTACTACCTCAGGAAAGGTGAGATTCAGATGTTAGAACAGTATTTTATTATGACCTACAGTGGATTATGTAAAAGAAATTTTTTAAAATAAAATATATGGGGGCATACAGGGTGGATTGGCGGACAATTCAAGATGTAAAGTGTGCAGAAATTCTTGGGGGTGTATAGGCAAATAGTCCAAGATGCAATGCGTATATAGAGTAAACACCCCTCCTCTCGAAATGCCAGTTCAACTAGAACTTAGGGCCCTAAGTTTGCCTTGAGGTGTTTAGAGGTTGTCTCACCCCGTCACGAGTCCTGATGTTCTATTTTCAGATGTTGCTTATAACCTCTCGAACTTAATAAAGGTTTAGTTAAGAGCAATATACATAAGAAGCAAAAAGTCCATATAGCCTCCCTCCCCAAAAAGTCCATAAAGTCCATATTCGCCAACTGAAGTGTTATAAACTGTACTACTATTATCCGCACCCCATTCCCCAATTTTTTCCCCCTCTTGGTGAATGTGGAAGTTCAAGTGCAGGTGCAGGAAAGCCAGAACAGGGATGGGACTGTGAGAAGCAGGAAGAAAAGGAAGAGGTCGAACAAGAGCAAAGATGCTGTTGAAGGAAATGTTTAGTGGTACTAGGCATCCACCACGAAATCTTTTGCTCCTGACTTGCTTTGCAATATCAGGTAAGTGATAATCTATAAAGTTAGGAGTCCAAATGCTGATGCTGCATCATAATGTGAACATTTTTTGAGAGCACCATTTAACTGAAGGCATAGCTGCCACAAAATGCCAGTAATGTGTAGAAGTTGCTTAACTGCTGTATAGTTTATGGCTAGTTTTATGGGTCTACTGCTTCTTTTCTTAGAACTTCCAAGAATTGACTATGGTTGGTTTTGAGTGGATCAACAGTTTCGGTTCTTTCTTGTGAATGTTGCGTCCTCAACTAATTACTTTTGTTGACCTATGCTAGGATCCTTACGAGTTTGGTTTGCGTTAAGATCACATCTTCTGAATAGGGAAGATATTAGGAGAAACCTAATGTGTGCATGGTTTTTGACCCTTTCGCTCAAGGAGGATACTTGACGATATTCTTGGGAAGAGGAGACTGATTCTTGGGAGGGAAAGTCCATTCTTTTCAACTTAGAGCAGCATTAATAGTGACTTTTTAAGTTTTATTTTGGGCTACTGCTTATGGGATTGGCTAATCTGGTTTCAATAATCGTTATTATATTGCTATGCTCTCTTGTTTTGAGGCCTTTTGCTATTTCTCTCTGAACTTTCTAGTTAGTGGATCCTTGCTCACCTTACTTGAATCACATGTGAATAATCGTAGATTTGTAATATGTGAATCGAATTTTTTTTTAATCAGAAAATAGGCATCAATATTCTTTCTCTCACTGACGTTGGTGTTCAGGCAAGCTTGCCCCCCACCTCTACTATTCCACCGGTACCTGCTATCTCCCACGAAATACAGGAACCGGGTAATTATGCCTACCAAGGCTTAGGCAGATGGGAAGAAATCACTCCGTGTTTTTGTCTCCGTTGTGATTTGAACATATCATGGTTCTCCTTACACTTCATTGACCTCTATGACACACGCTTGGTGCGAAAACGTGCATATGTTATTTGCTTAATTGATTTAAGATCACACAGATTCTCTAAGAATTGTGTCACTTTTGCAGGAGGTGTTTTGATTAATGGATACTATGAACATAGTACATCAACCACAAGAACTCTTTATTTATCAAAGGAAGTGTGCCTGAGAGGCAACAATTATCAGAACACAATGGTCTATTGCTAATGTGATTCCATTTTGAGTTGTCTTCATCTGTGTCTTTAGTTGATCAGCATTGGGTGGAGCTTGTATGAATTTTACCCTTACAGTAACAGTTTTGTAACATGGAATTAGTTTCTGGAATTCCGTTGGTGTTTTACCTTAGTATACTTCTGACTTTTTTTTTTTGGTAATTATGAATTTTCATTACCAAGTAAATATTTACACATTGTCTCAAATCTCTGAAGTTGGACAGATGCCCCAACATCAGTACACTACTTGATCAACTAACATACAAATTGCAGCCTATACATGATGCTATATCTCTATTCCTCTAACTAGGATAGTAATCTAGCTGCTTCAACATTTGCATCAACTTCTTCCTCCCCTTGCAATGTAAGTCTTGAATGATCTGCCTTACTATAGTTGCTGCTGGCCTCGTTTTCTGTTGGAAGATTTTGCTGTTCCTTGCTAACCAATGTAATACACACTACCTGCTAGGGCCATACGATATATTTCTGCACGTGCACTGTTTCCAGAAGCATTTTCCCCGGCCCATTCCACTTCTTCCTTCCATCCCATAGCTTGCCTCTGAACTCCTTGCCAACCAGTAGTTTTTGCCAAACTTGAGAGGTAACTGGGCATTTAAAGAACAGGTGTTGGAGGTCTTCTTCCTCATTGTCACATAATGCACATGTTGTATCATACCCCATGTTCCACTTTTTCAGTCTCATCTTTGTGTATAGCCTATCTTGCAATGCAAGATACAATATGAAAATCCACTTTGGACAGCCCTGGTTGTTACATATCAGTTTCCTCCATTGCACTTTGGGATGTTCTTCTCGCAGCTTGTTATACATTTGCTTGATTGAATATTTGTCTTCTTTCAGGAAATTCTCATTTGTTACCCTTGCTTCCTCCAAGTACTGCTTAGCTTTTAGGAGTTTCTGTATTAGCCATGAAGCCTGTGTAGCCTGACTGTCCCATACTTGAGTCCCTTTTATGTAATAGCTGTACACCCATTGAACCCACAGCCTGTCTTTTTTCTTGCATAAATTCCAGTAGTGTTTAAGTATAGCAGCCTTGTTCCATATGCATATATCTATTATGTTGAGTCCCCCTGCTGCTTTTGGCAGACAGATTTTCTCCCATGCTATTAGGGCCTTCTTAGAGCATTCATTGTTTCCATTTCATAAAAATCTTCTGCAAATCTGTTCAATTTTTTCCATCACTTTCTTTGGTAATATGAATATTTGTGTCCAGAATTGTTGAATAGCTGTGAGCACACTTCTAATCAGCTGCAATCTTCCTGCATATGAGAGCATTTTTGCTGTCCATGAGGTTACTCTTCCTACCATCCTATCCATAAGTGGCTGGCATTGCCCAATTGTTAGTCTTTTTGAACTCAGCGGTACTCCCAAGTATCTGAAGGGTAAAGTTCCCGCAGAGAAACCTAGCTCCTTCATAATTTGTTCTTGTATCTGCTCTGGTACTCCACCAAAGTATATAGCACTTTTTCCTTGGTTTGCAATTAGTCCAGATGCCATAGAGCATTGCTGGAATTGTTTGTATAGAAGCTGAGCAGACATTACATTCCCTCTACAAAACAGCAACAAATCATCTGCAAATCTCAGCTGTATAATGTTCAGTTTAGCACATCTAGGATGATAGTTGAAGTCTGGATTCCCTGCCAAAGTCTTTAGAGATCTGCTTAAGTACTCCATGGCAATCACAAACAAGAAAGGTGACAGGGGATCACCTTATCTTAATCCTCTTTTAGCATAGAATGGAGCACTTGGTTTACCATTTATGATGACTGAATATGACACTGTTGTTAAACACCCCATTATCCATTTCACAAACATGTCTGGGAAGTTAAGTGCATGCAGAACTTGTTCAAGAAACACCCATTCAATAGAATCATAGGCTTTTTGCATGTTAATTTTGATCATGCATCTTGGTGACACCCCTTTCCTCCCATACCCTTTCACTAATTCATGACTTAGGATTATATTATCTGTTATAAGCCTGCCAGGAACAAAAGCTGCTTGACTCTTATCAATGATGCTATCCATGACTCCCTGTAATCTACTGGTAAGCACTTTGGATATAATTTTGTATAGTGTGGAGCAACAGGAGATAGGTCTATATTGCTTCACCGAGGTAGGGTTTTTTTATTTTAGGCACCAATGTTATAGTTGTACAGTTTATTGGCTTGTAGAGGGTTTGAGAATCAAAAAACTCCAGCACAGCTTCAGTTACCTCTTCCCCAATCGTGGCCCATGCTTTCTTGAAAAATACTGAATTGAATCCATCTATTCCCGGAGCTTTGTTATCATCTATTCCTTGAAGTGTTTGCCATACTTCCTCTCTGCTAACTGGCTGGATGAGATTCATTTGTTGTTTCCTTGATAGCACATGTCCTCTTCTCATGTCATTTAGATTTACAGCAGGTAATGTAAGAGTTGGCTGCCCCCAGTAGTCCCTGATAAAAGTGCATTATCTCCTCTTCTATTCCTTTATCTGTATAGATAGTATCTCCTGCTGCATTGGTGAGTGCTTTGATCTGGTTCTGAGCTCTCATGTTCTTTATGCTAGCAAAAAAATAAGCTGAGTTAGAGTCTCCTAAATTGAGCCATTGTACTCTAGACTTCTGTTTATATATGCTTTCCTCTATTTCATCCCATTTCTCCAGCTGTGACCTTAGCTCTTTTTCCACTTCAAACTGATATGGATCCTGAATAGGTGTTCTCATTTGTTGTTGTATAGCTTGAAGTTCACTTCCGATGTCTTTGACTTTTTCAGCAATCCTAGGGTACTCCTTTGCATTTAAGCCCTTCATTGCTTGTTTTGCATGCTTCAACTTTAGCCATACTTTTTTCATGTAACCTGCATTGATGCTTATCTGCCAACAGTCTGCTACTATCTTCTCAAAGTTTGGATCATCAGCCAGATAGTTCAGGAATCTGAATGGTCTAGGTGGCTATCTTTTCGTTTGTACTTCCCTACGTTCTAATAGCATAGGGGGAGGGTGATCAGAAAATAAAGGATCTAGAACATGTACTTGAGTAATAGGCATCTTGCTCATCCACTCTCCATTCACTATTGCCCTGTCAATTTTGCTAAAAACATGGCTGTTTGTCCAGGTAAAGGACCTCCCTATTGCTTTCAGTTCATTCATACCAGCCTCTTCCATGAAGTCTCTAAAGTCTCTTGTTTCTTGGTCTTGCATTACTGTTCCATGTGTTCTGTCCTCCACCTCAAGTATGGCATTGAAATCTCCCATTACTAACCATGGTTCTTGCTGCTTGCTTTCTACCTCTCTAAGCTTCCTCCATAATTCCTTTCTATCCTGCACTGTATNGCAGTTAAAATGGTATGTCATTGCATCTGCATTACTGTTAACTTCAGCTTGTATGTACTGACTATGTATATTAATTTCCTTCACTCTAGCAACTTTTGGATCCCATAGTAGCCATATTCTTCCTTTATTGGTCATGGAAGTGTTTGAGATCCCTTCCCAAGTAGGTACTATTTTATTTATCACTTGTCTTTCTTTGCATTCCTTTACTCTATGTTCAATAACAGCTATAACATTTACTCCATTTACTTTTATAAACTCCCTTAACTCCTTTTGCTTATAAATCTTGTTCATCCCCCTCACATTCCAAGTGATGACTTTCATCTTAGTAATGGAGGAAAATGATCTTGACTTCCTTCAACCCTTGGCTACTCTGTCCTCTTGCACATTGATTCAATTAATGTGCTCCTATTACTTGGCTTTCCTCAAACCATCTTTCTAGTGAGCTAAAACCATTTGTTGTACCTATCTCCTTGTCAGTGTTTCCTCCATTTTTTGCCATTTTGCTGGCTGATTTTGTTTTCACCATTGTCCATCCTTCTGCCTGTGGTACTATTGCTTCTGTCTGCTCCTTGTTCTCTACATCTTTCCCACCATTGTCCATCCCATTTGCTTCATGTTTTTGTTCATTCTTTTTGTCACTTGTCTTTACTTGATCAGTTCTCCTCCAGACTTGCATAGGTTTTGTTTTGTTTCCTTTTTGGCCTAGTGCTTGCTGCTTCTGCTCATTTATATTCTTGCAATTGTGACCTATTTGTAGACATGTTGCACAATACTCAGGCTGCCAATCATATTGTACTTCCCTCAGGGTCCTGCACAACAATGCTCTTAGGGAGTGTTCTAGTGATATCCATTTCAATAAGAACCCTTGCATATGAGATGCGTGCAATATTAGTGGTGCATTTATCAGCATACATAGGGGTACCTAATCCACTACAGATCTTGCTCAGTGCCTTCATTCCCCAGCAGCTTAAGGGAAGATTAGGAAACTTCACCCATATTGGTATAGTTTTAAGAACTTCATTCTGAAAATTAAAGTCTGCCACCCATTCCTTTATTATCACCGGCCTATTGTTGATAGTGCTTGGATCTGATAGTAATACCTTCTCCTTGTCCTCTAAGTTGCTGAATCGTATGACGAAATAATCATCATTATGATAGTATATTTTTGGCTTTTCTGCAAATCTCCATTGTGTTACTAGGAATCTCTCTACTGCTCCTATCAATGGAGATGCTCCAACAACATATAGGATTATAGCCTTTCTCCATTTCTCGACCTCCTCCTTTATATCCTTCTGTTCTAATTTTACAATTGTCTTCCCTTCCTGAATGCTAGGTGGGATATATCTTAGATTCATACCTTTTGACGCCATTTTGCTTCCAGTGACTATGCTTGCCCATGTCTGCATGTTCCCATTCTCCGTCAGCTGATTCTCTTTTTCCGTTACCTGTTTAGTGTGTTCCTTCTCCTTGTTGTTCGATCCATTTCTTTTAGGGCCATTACTCTGCTCCTGTACATCTTTCACTCCAGAGGTACTTCCTGCATGGCAGTTAGTACCATCTCCATTGTTAGTCCTCTTGCATGTGCTTAACTCATCCATTGCTAAAATTGATTTCCCCTTCCCAGCTGTAGGCGTGCCCTCCAGTTCCTGCTTGCTTAATTGCTGTTCCTGTTCCATTGCATGCTTCAAAGCAGATCCATGGAGATTCCCTCCTTCTGGTGATTTTCCATTTCCCGTTCCAATTTTCAATACCTCGAGTAGCTTTCGATCTGTGAGTAGTACCTTGTTGACTCGCTTCCGTGGTCTTCCTCGCCCTCCCATTCCGGTGAGCGGCACACGTTAGTAGATCACCTAATCGAGCGCCGAGAGAAACAGAATATACTTCTGACTTTTTAGTGCAAGTAACTTAATGATAATATAAAATATTTATCTATTGACAGTGCACAAAACTTAAATACTATGATATTCTCTTCCATGGCATTTCAAACTTGATGAAACCATTGAAAAAAAAGTATTTTTATAAATGCAAAAATGGCAAATTAAAAGGTTTTTACATTAATTTGAACTATAAGCATCCCTTCAAATGCAAAATTGGAAAATTATGTCTTGATCCAAAGTCATGATGAGAATGTAGCACAAAGAACACCAGGGATTTGGGGGATTAATAGGATCTCTCCAACTTTAATTAAAAGTCTCGAATTCGTACTTTGAGAATGAAAAAATTTCGGTAAAGAGAATTTTTTCTTTAATGTGTTTTACATGGCTCGAATCCGGATTAGTTGGTATTCCAAAGTATATACAAAATACCACCACCACCAACAACACAACCCAGAAAAATTTCTTTAGTGGGGTCTGAGGAGGGTAGAGTGTACGCAGGCCTTACCCCTACCCCGGAAGGGTAGAGAGGCTGTTTCCGAGAGACCCTCGGCTCAAGAGAAGATAATAATATCAGAAAAGAACAAACGAATAGATCCATAACGACAAAAGAAAATACAAAACACCGAGTGTGAGGAATAAAAAAGAAAGGAATGTAGCACTGATGATAGGCTATAATTGCATATTTTAGTCGCTTATTACACTCGAATTTACTGCAGTTTAATTGAGTTTGCGCTTTAATCGCTAGTGTTTTGCATTAATTGTGTGTTTTATGCCTTGTAGGTGTGATTCCGAGCTATATAGATGTTATGGAATGAATTTAAGTGATGTGAAGCTTTGAAGTCTGAGTAAAAGCTCAAGGAATTAAGCCGGGATCGTGTTCGGGGGTCAAATTTGATAATTAAGTACGAACGAAGACTTGAGGAGGCATATTTCGCACTGTCTAGTAAAATAGAAATAACTTTTTGCTCAAAACTCCATTTGGGTTCCACAATATATGATTGGAAAGCTAACTCAAAGGGCTACAACTTTCATGTTTTACGTTTTTCCAAATTCCAAACGGAACAGGGTAAAAAACCGCGGTTCCACCGCAACCGCAGCAGGAAGCGAAAATTTCAGGGACTAAAGTGCAAAACATGGGATTTATATCCTAAAATCTATATTAAACAAAGGAGGTCGGCCAAGAACAAGAAGGGAGACATATTTTGGACATAGATTCAACCTAAGGAGGCAAGAACACATTGGGAGCAAGGCGGAGAATTCTTCTACGAGTTTTTCCTTCCTCTTCCTATTTTTCATTGTTGGTTATGACTTTTAGTATTTTAGTTTTACATACTATTATGAATAGCTAATTTGTTATCTAGAGTTTTGATAGAACCTTTTGTAGGATAAATTCTTGTTATGTTTTTATATAATTGAGCCATAGTTTTTCTCTATTTGTTCAACTACGTTTATATTGTGGTTGGTTGAAGAGCTCTCAATTACCTGTGCCTATTTAGTATGCATAACTCGGGAGAGAGTGCATATTTAGGTAATTGTTGAACAACACCACTCCCAGAGTATATGAGGGATCAATAACCGAGGGTTTAAAGGTGGGATTAGGGATAACGAAGCCTTGGGTGCGATCTGGAGTGAGCTGTATTAAAAGCCAGCTAGCATAGCTCGGGAGAGTGCGTCTAGTAAATTGTCGTAATTACTCGGGAGAGATTTACGGTAATAAGAGTGCTCATGATCGGTAGAGAATACTTAGGCGAAATTATAGAAGACATAGCGGGAAGGATTCCGACAATAGGGGAAATCATAACTCTAGACCTCCTTAATCTTTTCTCTAACCCTCAATATCGTTAGTTGTTAATTTACTATTTTAATTTGTTAGTTAATTAGTTAAACACAAGAATCTTAATATCTATAAGTTAGAAATTGTTCAAGCTTGTCTTCTTGGTGATAGTGAACAGTTGTAGCTAAACCTTAGTTCTCTGTGGGATTCGACTCCGGACTTGTAAACCGGATTATATTTGCAGCGACCGCTTAATCCTTTTTATAAGGCATAGTTGGGCGTGATCAAATTTTGGCGCCGTTGCCGGGGAACTAACGCTGTAGTTGTAGGTGTACATATTGCTAGGTTTCAAGTTTGAACTTTTAGTTTGTTTTATTTTTTATTTTTATTTGTTTGTATTTTTTTTTATAACTGTTGATTTGAGAAACATGGCATCTTGTAATTATGGGAATTTAGGTGTAGATAATTCTACTATTGATCTCCATACATATTGTGAAGGAAACCACCCGTGGCAAAATTTTCAAAACGTTCCTAAAAGCGAGTTATGTGCACCAACTCAATCTTATTTGTGGAATGTGTGTGATGTGTGTGGTGGTAAAAATGGTCACCTTCATGGTTGTGCTTATATTTCTTACCTTTCCCAACCCCTTACTTTGATGGTTCTTCTTTTTCTGGTGAAGTTAATAGGAACAAAGAACCTAGGAAGCTAACCTAAAGAAGCTCGAAGATATGTTAAAGTTGCATTTTGGAACAACAGAGTAAATTACTACTGCGGATAGAAAGGCAGGAGGAAACTATTCACAACTTGAAAGTTCACATGAGTCAACTGGTTGAAGTTTTTAATGCTCAACAAGCCAATATTGTGAATAGTATCCAAGAAGAGCGTGAATTAGATACAAAATTGCTGCGCTAGAGGAGGAGGCTAGAGTAGAAACACCAACATCAATCACACTAGATTTTGAGGATGTCGATGTTGTAGAAGAGATACTAGAGTCAACCAAGGATATTGAGGATACATATTTAGTTGACTCTATTGTCATTAGTATTGAGAATGAGATAGTCCCAATGTTCATGTAGTTGAGCGCATTGGTCCTCACTCCAAGCTTTTTTCCACATTGTGTTTAGATGATGATATGGAAATAGAGTCGTCGAGCCATTTGAGGAGTCGAGGAATGAGGAACAAAGTGCTTACATTCCGGAATTCTTCTTGCAGAAAATCGGATTACAACCTCATCTAAAGGCAAGAGTGCAGAATACTACATTATATTTATTGGCCAGCCAGATTCGTTCCACCACCCAGGAGCATGATCATTAGAGCAGAATCAAAACTTGGGGTCCGATTCATAAGTTCAAAGTGGAGGCAGAAAGTGATTCACGTCGTGCCGCGACGTTAAATCAAGCACTTCTTGGGAGGCAACCCAGCTTTATTGCTTTCTTTTATTTATTTTTTTATTTTTTTAATTGTATTATTTTTGTAGTGTCAATTTTTTATTTTCTAGGAGCATGGAAAGCAAAGGTATTGGAAGGATGCATCAGCAAACCAAATGGTTGGAACTAAGTGTGAGGTACCCACACGAAGGACCAAGCTTGGGAGAAGTCTGAGTACCCCATGAACTGCTAGTGCTCCGGCCTTTGGCCTACCAGGGAGTTTCTTTTACCTTCTTGTATGT